TCGTCAGAAGAAAAGGCGAAGGCCCATGAATAAGGATCAAGGGCCGTTCCTCGTCAAAAGAAGAGGTAAAGGCCCATGAATAAGGATCAAGGGCCGTTCCTCGTCAGAAGAAAAGGTAAAGGCCCATGAATAAGAATCAGGGGTCGTTCCTCGTCAGAAGAAAAGGTGAAGGCCCATGAATAAGGATCAAGGGCCGTTCCTCGTCAGAAGAAAAGGTGAAGGCCCATGAATAAGAATCAAGGGTCGTTCCTCGTCAGGAGAAAAAGTGAAGGTCCATGAATAAGAATCAAGGGCCGTTCATCGTCAGAAGAAGAGGTAAAGGCCCATGAATAAGGATCAAGGGCCGTTCTTCGTCAGAAGAAAAGGTAAAGGCCCATGAATAAGAATCACGGGCCGTTCCTCGTCAGAAGAAAAGGTTAAGGCCCATGAATAAGGATCAAGGGCCGTTCCTCGTCAGAAGAAAAGGTGAAGGCCCATGAATAAGAATCAAGGGCCGTTCCTCGTCAGAAGAAAAGGTGAAGGCCCATGAATAAGAATCAAGGGTCGTTCCTCGTCAGAAGAAAAAGTGAAGGCCCATGAATAAGAACCAGGGGCTGTTCCTCGTCAGAAGGAAAGGTGAAGGCCCATGAATAAGAATCAGGGGCCGTTCCTCGTCAGAAGAAGAGGTGAGGCCCATGAATAAGGATCAAGGGCCGTTCCTCGTAAAAAAAAAGGAAGAGGAAGGAGGGAGAAAGTAGGAAAGTACCAATGAGTAAACAGAACACAAGCTGTAAATACAAGGAGGCTTTATTCTTCGGCCTTACTAGCCGGAACGTACAATTAAACAGAAAAGGGAACTAGCGAAGCTATGTAAGAAAACCGTGAGAAGGGGAGCGTGGGGAGGCCGTCGGATCTTCTGCTGGCACCACGGGAGGCTCGGGAGTGGGGGGATCGGGGATGTCACCCCTCTGAATAGCCGCCGCACGCTGCTCGGCTCGGTCGAGTTTGCCCATAACTCGCCGAAGCTCAGCCCCATCGGTGTATTCATCCACATTAAACGGGGGGACAGCCGACCAGAGGGAGCACGCTTCTGAGGGCTTTCACACTTTCAAAGTACCCCTTGGCAAAGGAATCATCAGCAAGCTCCATAAGCCACTCACCACCAAGGGCAGTCTTCCCCAAAACATGCACCCCATGATCTAAACGCTTCTCATCCACCACCGACTGCAGTTCGGCTTCAAAAACCTCTCCAGCAGCGCCCCGGCAGTACTCATAAGCAGCCTGGAGGAACTGAGAAGTCTTCTTGAATTCCTCCACGTTAAGGGACAGGGTCAGAACGTCCGTGGAAGGATCCCCACCTTCGGGACGGGGGGCAGGGTCCGCGGCAGGAACAAACAAAATCCCATGCTCCTCAGCCAGGGCTACCTTGGCGAGCAGGCTTTGTTTCTCACGTTCGCCCTGAGCACGAACGGCCTGGAGCTCCTGTTGGGCCTGGGCCAGGGCAGCCTGCGCCCTCTTCGCCTCTGCCTGAGCGGCCTCCCGCTGCAGCGAAGCTTCCTGCTCCCTCTTAAGGGCCGCATCAGCCTTCTTCCTGAGCTCGGTGAGATCTCTTTCCCGAGCAGACTTAGCCTGCAGCAAGCTCAGCCCGGCCTGCAAAAAAGAAAAATGGGTTAGGCAGGAAACGAGGAGCAGAGTCAGAAGATAACACAGAAAACGGCTAGAGAACATACCTCAAGGCTCAGAAGCAGGGCGTTGTCAACAGAGTTGCCCGAGGAACGACCTGATAGCATCAGCCCGGCCTGGAGGGCCATGTCCTTCCAGACCTTAGAGATGGGACGAACGGCGGAGGGAACCGCGACGCTCGTAGACTTGGGGGCAGAGGGCTCAAGACGCGGCCTCTTCGTTTTTTTCCCCTTATCCTTATCCCCGCCAACAGGGATAGCAACGCCGACCGGGTTCACATTCAGAACCCGGTTATCTTAAGGAGGGGCCTCGGAGGTTTGCCTGGTCACCTCAGCAACCAGAAGCCGCTCTGCATCGGCGACCCGCTGACTAGCCTGGGACGCGGCCGAAGAAGTAGCCCCAGAGGATTGAGCAGCTGCACGGGCTTTAGCTAGCGTCTCATGTTCCTTGGCAGCTTTTGACTCACGTCGAAGTGCCATAGCCGCGCTATCCATCTGATCTTGAGTAGGGGGAGGACCAGAAAATGGAAAAATAACATTAGTACCGAGCGGTGCGAATCACAAAGGCACTCTCCTCAGGGAACAGACCGCCCGGGGCCACAAGATGAACACTAGAGAAGGCCAGTCCAGGGATCACGGGCGGTACCTATCCCAGCGTTGGAGAGTGCCTCAATGGTCAGAAGGCCTTTTAATCTCCTAACACCGCCCAACCTCATCTTGTCCACGGCTTCCTGCAATACTGGGGTCAGTTCCGGTGTCTGGACCTTCGGAGGGTATCCGTTCCACCGTACAGGGAGCCGATCGTTCGCATAACGAATAAAGAAATAACGGTTCTTCCAGACATGGATAGAAGAGGGAGCCCCCTCGAACAACTTTCTCTTGGGACGAGCGGCCACGCTCAGGAACCCATCAGCATTTTGGGGGGTGACTTGGAAAAAGTAATGGAACAGCTCCAGGGAGAAAGCGAGCCCCAGCGATTGGAAAAGGACAAGGAACGCAGAGATGTGGCGATAGGAATTCGGCATGAACTGAGCCGGGACCACGCCGTAGAACTCGAAGAAATCCAGGTAGAACGGATGTAACGGGAACCGCAGTCCGGCCTTCAGAGAGTCCATATGTACCATCACCATCCCCGGATGTCTCATGAAGAGGTTATCCACGCCTCGGAGGCTATAATAGGCAGGCGGAGGGAGGAGAACTTGCAGCTCCCTCAAGGCCCTTTTGGAAAAGACTTGCTCGATCGCAGCTACGTTCGGAATAAGCACAATGTGCCTATGATCGTCCATGGGGATGCCCCGCTTATAGATTCGGAGGTCATCCCCTTCTTCAGCCTCCTCACCCGAGTCGTAGTCGTCTGGTTGCGCCGCCGTCGCAACGGCGTTTTCAGGGTCAACAGCCATGTCAACATGTTCCCCAACGACCGGGATGGCGGCATCGGTCACTACATCAGGGACTGCCATTGAAGAGGCACTGGAACGGCCAGATCCACTCGCCTCAGCCGAAGAATGGGACCTGGATTCTGACACCGAAGATGAGCCGGCCGAAGAACCGGTAGAAGAGCCGGAGCTAGTCTCAGAGGAGGAAGAAATCTCCATGGAGCAGACCATAGGGAGATACGAGAAGGAAGAAGAAGATCGGAGTCGGGGATTTACCTTAGCTAGAAGCTTGGAAAAGGAACAAACATCGGGACCAAAATACTCGCTGATCGGCGCAAGAGGTGGCAAGAGGAGATAGCAGATGAAAAGCCCTAACCCTTCCCTGATTTCCGGTATTTATAGGGGAAGGCACCGACTCGACAACCAACCCACGGGTGACACGTGGCAAGGAGCGTATACAGGGACGCGTGTCGCATAAAGACGGGCTGATACGAAATGATTACTTTTTTATGGGAAGTTGAACCGGCCTGATAGCTGGCACCTAGAGCCCCGCAAACGACGACGGAAAGTAACCGTCACCTGGGGGAAAGGGAGCAACGGCTCAAAACGGTACGGCGGAAATCATCTTACTTCTTCATGTCCCGCGCACGCTCGGAACATCAGAAGTGGGGGATTTGTGTTGGGTTAATGGCCTTCCAGGGCCGGCCCATCAACCCCTGAAGCCCAAGGGTCAAGGGACGTACGTGGCCCACCACAGCCAGGCCTCAAGGTCCAAGGGCCAGGGGACGTACGTAGCCCAGCATAGCCAGGCCTCAGGGTCCAAGGACCAGAGGACGTACGTAGCCCAGCATAGCCAGGCCTCAGGGTCCAAGGGCCAGGGGACGTACGTAGCCCAGCATGGCCAGCCTCAAGGTCCAAGGGCTAGGGAACGTACGTAGCCCAGCATGACTAGGCCTCAAGGTCCAAGAGTCAGGGGGGACGTCTTGTGGGCTATACCTGAAGGCCCCGGTTGCCATCAAAGACTTGAGTTCAATTTAGGGGACGGACGTCCCCCGCATTATGACGGGAAACCAAGATCTTGGCGGGAAACGCTTTTAATGCTGAAGATTTGGTGATTGGAATCATGTTGCCCACAGCCGGCCACGTCAGCCCCCCAACCACCAGGGTGTACTATAAATAGCCGCATTTATTTCATTGTAAAAAGTTCGCACATCGTGACTCTAGAGTTGTAATAGCGTCAGCAGTACGTAGCTTATTTTCAGTACGTTCGGCCTCTTCGGCTTGTAATCACAATATTGAAGGAAACAGTCATTTAATCCATCCTCGTTGATTTAGTGAGTTCATTTGCTTTCCACCCATTCGAGACCCCAGGTTACGTGTTGGGCCTGCGGGTTGAAGGGAATAAACCTCAGCAGAATGTATAAAGAATTAAGATTTAATTAGTCATGATAATTGATGAAGATATCATAATACTACGTTTCCTTACATCTCTCTCAGTGAGCTTAATTATCAGATGTCAAGATTAAGTAAATATAGAATTTTACACTAGAAGGCTACACACATAGTTTTTTGAGGGATGGGAGGCCGTTAAGTAAACATAAATTAAGGTCGATAAGTTCAAAAAATGAAACAAACCAAATTCAAGTGATTAACAAAAGGGCCTATACTATAAATTTGAATGTAGTATTCCCTCCGTCCCACATATTAAGGAAATAAACTTATCAGGTGATAAGTTTTGATGTAGGATAACATTCCATTTAAGCAAATGGAAACTTTCCAACGGGACATTTAAAAAGGAAAGCGGGAACCTTCCAACGGGAAAGAGGGAGTAATTAAATAGCAACCAAAACATGAATGTAATTGAGCCATCTAGCTTTAATTTGTTGATATAATAGTACTACGTATAAAATTGTAACTTAAAAATCTACATTTTTGCAAGTACATATTTTATGAAAAATTGAAATAAAGAATACAAACAGTAACACTTTATTAAAAAGGACATCACATTCGATTTTACATGAATACCGGAAATCAAACACGTAATTAAACACCACTTTTTAAATTAAAAGCTGATACCAGGAGCAATTAGCTAGTTTAAACACTCCCTGATATGCTTTAAGCTCAAAAAATCTGAAAAAGTAAATATAATCATCACATAATTTCACAACCATATACCTAATAAATAGTCGAACCAGATAAATGGTGAACCCCCTGCTTCATTATCGGTACGTAGTTTATTTACATAATTTTCCATGTACTTAGCCTGCTTGTTGGATCCTGTCAATTAGGTCAATAGATCGTTGACCCAATCGAGGTCAATTCCAGTCAACCCTCCGTCATTGTTGTACTTCCCTTCACCACCGTCGTAGTTCATTCTCCCACCAGGAGAGTCCTCGCGGTCAATGGTGGAGTTGATTCCGACGTTGACCGACGGAATATTCGCATTGAGGTTGGCCATTCTGTTTATAGCCTTGCTCACCGTCACTTGTTTGACCAGTTCGGTCAAAGCATTTTTGTAATTCAGCATCGCAATGGCATCAAGATGACCGCCGGAAGCCACTCCATAAGGCGGCTCCGCGCCGTAGCACCGACAAAACGGGGTTGCCGCGGCCGGTGACATGGGCGGAGAGAGGGAAGGAGACGATGGCGGGGAAACCTGTGAAATACCCATTAAAGTCGAACTCGGCGAGTGGCAGTACATACCGCTGTTGCTCAGATTCCGGTAGTACTTCTTCTTGGCCGCCGCCGCAGCGGCGGAGCTGCCACTACTCTCAGGGCCGTTCACCGGAAGAACCCGAAGCTGGCGGGGAGTGTGAGCGAAGAAACACACCTTCCTCTTGCAGTTCCGGCCGTCTTTGCAGGGCTCCGTCCGGTACCGGGCCGGATGGAGCCAGCACTCGAAAACCCCGTGAGCGAACTCACAGTTATCTCCACGGCTACAGTTTCCCTTTCGGAACTCCGAGCAGACGGCGCCGGAGTAGTGAAATTTCCGGGGATCTCTCCGGCGGGCCTTCTCACCGGGGTGGGCGAAGGGGCAATCCGTCCAATCATGACTGCGGGTGCGAGTGCAGCGGCGAACCTTAAAGTCGTACATCCGGAAAAGATCGGCGGAAAAAGGGTCATCCTCATCGTCATCAAGATTGTTGTAAGGCAAGAACTTCCGAACATTTGAACCCTCGAATTTATTATAAGTCGCCGGAGATTCCAAGAACGTATCAAGATTCAAACTTTTTGGAGAAACTCCGTCTAGCTTGTTGAAGTAAAACCGCCGCGGGTCGGAAGAGAGTTGAAAGATTCCATCTTTAGTACAAACTGTCTCCATAATCATCTGCAGAAGAGGAGTTGTTTCTTAACAACGAAATGTTCAATGAGAGAAATAGATTTATTTATATATTTACTGAAAAGTACGGATAAGGAGGGGTACTATACGGAGATATATACTGGAGAGTTGATGGATGTGCGTATATATACGTACAGACATACGGATAGAAGCACGTAGTACGGCGGTGGTGAGGTGGGCGATGACGAGGATTGGTAGAGGTGTGGGGGGAGATACGTGGCTTCACAGCATTTGGGATTGTCATGGACAGGTGCACATGTGGCAGCTCCATATAACGCATGGGAAAGGTTGCGTTTTGAGGTGCCTGTATTGCAGGCGCCGCCGCCGAGATAAGAGAAGGGAGCTCATCCCAATACAAATCATAAGGAAAATGGCAAATGTACATTGATGTTTATCCGATCCAAAAATGTTATTTCCTCTTTCTCAAATTGTTTTACAAAATCAAAATTGTTTGGTTAACTAATAATAAAAGTCAATTGGAATATAATTAAAAATTGGCATCCTAATTAAGCGAATAAAATGAAACTGTTTGACCAAAAAAAGTGAAATGTGCAAATAAATTTGGGACAGAGGTAGTATTTATACACGCCGATTTACACACCCGTTTACATAAAGTGTATCTTATCGTGCATAGAAAATTGATTTTTCACTTTACTCAGAGAAATTGATTGTTACCTCGAATTGTCTGTGTACAAACAATTCACTTTTACGCGTCACAGACAGTTTACTTCATCAAAATAAAGATCAATTGTCTACCCAAAGACAAAATACACTTAGCGTGTGAAAGGGGTGTACAAATAACATTTTTTATGTTTATCTCTAAGGGATCTTCATCCATTAGTTGATGATGTGGCGAATTATTTTTCTTGGAGTTGAAAGAGAATAAAACCGTATATCATGAAAGAAAGAGAGGAGCTTATTATTGAAGAGGATGGTTACAACTAACTACCAGACTGGTAGTATATATGGAAACCGTATGCAGACATAAAAGGCTAAAACTAATTCAAGCTTAATGGGCCTAACCCATTTAATTGCAGAATTATTATTTACAACATGCTCCCTTAATTATGCAATTCACACATAATATCTATGCTCCCTTAACTTCAGCAACAGAGAACATGTTCAGTCTTTTCCTTAGCTCCGTGAATCTCTGAATTGATAGAGGTTTTGTCAATATGTCTGCATTCTGCTCCTCAGTTCTGCAATGCCAAACCTTTATCTTCCCTTTATTTACTTTCTCTCTTAGGAAATGAAATCTTGTATCAATATGCTTACTCCTCCCATGTGCAACAGGATTCTTAGCAAGACTTATGGCAGACTTGTTATCAATCAGTAGGTCTACTGGTAACCGTCCCCTGATCTTAATCTCACTTAACAGTGATCTGAGCCACAATGCTTGACAAGCTGCATAACAAGCAGCGATGTATTCTGCTTCACAGGTTGAAAGACAAACTGAATTGTGTCTTTTGGAACACCAAGACACTGGTGCATGCCCAACTGTAAATACATATCCATAAGTACTCCTTCTTTTGTCAATATCTCCATTCCAGTCCGAATCAGAATATCCAACAAGCAATTCTCCTTTCAACTGATTTCTGTTAGGCAACAAAATACCAAAGTCTGCAGTTCCCCTCACATATCGCAGAACTCTTTTTACTGCAGTAAAATGGGATATTCTTGGACTATCCATAAATCTGCTCAAAAACCTTACACTATAGCATATATCAGGTCTGCTATAGCATAGGAATCTCAAACAACCAATTATTTGTTTGTATAGAGTAGCATCAACCCTCTTCTCACTTTCATTTTTTCCAGTCTTCAAATTTGTTTCAGCGGGTGTAATCACAGCATTGCATTTCTCCATCTTGAATCTTCTCAACACATCCTCAGCATACTTCCTTTGATGAAGTATGACTCCATTATCAGTATATGAAAACTCTATACCAAGGAAATAGGAAAGATCTCCTAAGTCACTCATTTCAAATTCTATTTTCATTTCTTCTTTGAAAACTGAGATGATCTTACTGCTACTGCTGGTGATTAGGAGATCATCCACATAGAGGCAAATGATAAGTACATCTTCATCAAACTTCTTTGAATAAACACCATATTCAACTTTGCACTTTGAGAATCCTTGTTGCGCCAGAAATTTGTCAATTCTCTTATTCCAGGCTCGGGGTGCCTGCTTTAAACCATATAATGCCTTCTTTAGCCTGAAGACCTTTTCTTCATTCCCTTTTATTTCAAACCCAGGAGGCTGTGTAACATACACCTCTTCTTCCAAAGGCCCATTCAAAAACGCAGACTTCACATCCATTTGTTGTAGTGACCAGTTATTCAAGCATGCATAGGCTACCACAGTTCTAATTGTTTCAAGCCTTGCAACAGGAGCATAGACTTCCTCATAGTCAATTCCCTTCTTTTGCAAAAAACCTTTTGCCACTAATCTGGCTTTATGCTTAGAAACAGTCCCATCTGGTCTCAACTTTGTTTTGAATATCCATTTCACAGTTATAGGTTTTTTGTTCACTGGTAAATTACACAGCTCCCAACTGTCATTCTTGTAAATAGAATGAAGTTCTTCTTCCATTGCTTTCTTCCACCTGTCATCCTCCAGTGCTTCCTCTACAGTCAAAGGTTCAGTATCCACAAATAGGGCAAAGTGCACTAGATCTCCATCATTATTAACTTCGTCATCTCTGGTCATTTGATAATCATTCAACCTTACTGATTGTGTCCTGTTTCGTGTTGGTCTTCCATTGTTTATATTTGAATCATACCTCACTTCTTCATCATTGTCACTTCCTGCTGACATCTCAAATTCCAGATCAGAATCAACTTTTGTATGAGTAGATTTCTCCCTTTTCTGAGATTCATTTTCCCAATTCCAACTCTGGCCTTCATCAATAACCACATCTCTACTAATCACAATCTTCTGTGAGACAGGATCATACAGTTTGTAGGCTCCAGTTGAGTGATAACCAACCAGGATCAGCTTTTCACTTTTGTCACTCAGCTTTCTTCTTTTCTCATCTGGGATATGTCTATAACCAATTGAACCAAACACCTTTAGGTGTTTCACACTGGGCTTCCTTCCTGTCCACGCTTGTTCTGGTGTAATATTCTTCAACCTTTTAGTTGGACACCTATTCAGAATGTAGCATGCAGTAGTTACTGCTTCTCCCCAAAAACAATGAGGCAACTGCTTACATTTCATCATACTTCGAGCCATATTTAGAACTGATCTATTCCTCCTTTCTGCTATGTCATTGTGCTGAGGTGTGTATGGTGGAGTAAGTTCATGCACAATACCCTCCTTTTCACAGAACTCTGAGAATTCTCTATTCACATACTCACCTCCTCCATCAGTTCTAAAAACTTTCAAATATTTCCCAGTTTATCTTTCAACCATGTTTTTGAATTTAATAAACATGTCAAACACCTGTGATTTCCTTTCTATCAAATATATCCACATCTTCTTACTATAATCATCAATGAAGGACACAAAAAATTGTTACCTCCCAATGACATTTCTTCAAATGGACCACACACATCTGAGTAAACAACTTCCAGTACCTCTCCAGATCTTGTAGGCAAGTTTGTTTTGAATGGATTTCTGGATTGTTTCCCAACCATACAACTGTCACATATTTGTTTTGTGGTCTTCAACACTGGTAGTCCATGTACCATCTCCCTTTCAGAAAGTTGACACATACTCCTGAAATTCAAGTGCCCTAACCTGAGATGCCAGAGCCAGTTCACATCTTCTACTGCAGTTGAAAGACACATTGCATCTACAGGTAGGATTTCAATCTGAAAGGTCCTGTTATTCTGGAGTGGCGCTTTGAGTAAGATCTGATTATTAGGACTGTATACACTCATCATATTGTCCTTCAGGTTTACAGAGAAACCCTTTTCTACCAGTTGACCAACACTTAGGAGATTATGTTTCATTTTGGGAACAAACAAGACATCTGAGATGTAAGATATCTTACCATCCTTCCTCTGAATCCCAATCTTTCCTTTTCCTTCAGACATTACAGTACTATGGTCAGGAAATTTCACTTTATTTTTAACCTTATCATTCAATTCCACAAACCAGTCTCTCCTGCAACTCATGTGATTCGAACAACCAGTATCTAAATACCATGAGTTTACAGTATCATTTACAAAATTAGAGACAGTGGTTACCATCAAAAGCACGTTATCATCATCTGAATCCTCCTTCTGAGCAATGTTTGCTTCATGTTGATCTTGTCTAGCTGGTCTGCCCCAACATTCATTTGAATAATGTCCATACTTCTCACAACTGTAGCATTGAATATTTCCTTTGTCAAAGTAACCACGTCCCCTTCCTCGATTAGGCTTTCCTCTCCATGTTTGATTATTGCCTCTCCAAGAATTGTCATTACCTCTCCCAGAATTGCCTCCTCTGTAAATACCACCTCCTCGTCCTCTGGACTGATTCATGTCATTTCCTCTGCCTTGATTGTTAGTACCACGACCTCCTCTACCACGAAATCCTCTTCCACGGAATCCTCGACCACGGCCCCTTCCTTGATTTCGTTCTGGCTCAGAATTGTTGGCCTTTGACGTCTGTGTCAATAAGGCTTGATCAGTCGTGATCGTTGAGGAATCTCGCTCAATAAACCTTTGTTCATGAGCTCGTAAGGATCCCAACATTTCGTCCAGGCGAGTTGTATCGAGATCTCTGTTTTCTTCAATTGTGACTGCAATAATTTCATATTTAGGAGTCAGAGTGCGCAAAATCTTCTCCATGATTGTGCGTTCCTTCAAGATTTGACCGCAGAATTTCATGGAATTGGTAACTACTTGAATTCTGGCAAAGTAAGTATCAATTGTTTCTTGGGGCTCCATCTTCAATAATTCGTATTGCCGCCGCAGCGTCTGGAGACGAACAGCCTTCAATCTTTCAACTCCGGCATAACTCCTCTCAAGCGCGTCCCAGGCCTCCTTTGCGCTTTTTGCAGAAGATATTTTCTCAAAAT